AAAAAAAAAAAAAAAAAAAAACTCCAGAATCTTAGCAAATAGCATTTCTTAAACATTACTTACCAAATCATTTTGCTTTACTAAATACTAAACACAGAATCTTTCTTGGCTCTTAACTTCTTCTTAACTGTATCTAGAAACCAAATATTAGGCGATTTCCTAATCACTTCCTATTAACATTTCCACTAGTATCAGATGAAGGTGCTTCAGGCTAAAGTTCTTAAGGAAATATGAGTCTGTCTCTCACCAGAATGTCATAGCATTTTGGGGTTAACCTTCTCCCATATCTGTACCTTTTCTATAAATTTCCCAAAAAATTTTCCTGTAGCCACTCTAGAGCAGGTTCAGGAATAGAAAACTCACCAACGTAGAATATTCCATTTTTTAAGTAATTTTACTTTCAAGAGAACTGCTCCTTTGAACTGAAGAAACTATGTTTCTATTATTCTCCTCATATACCTCTCTCTGTAATTCTAAGTACAGTGACTTAAAAGTGCCATTTTTTAAAGATAATGACCCCAACGACCATACCAGCTTCTATTGGGAAAATTAAACCCACAAAAATAAATAAGCTATTTAAAGTGGTCCCCAACCTTTTTGGCATCAAGGACTTGTTTGGTGGGGAAATAATTTTTCTACAGACTGGGGGGCAGGGTGGGAAAGGGATGGTTTTAGGATGAAACTGTTCCACCTCAGATCATCAAGCATTAGATTCTCACCTGGAGTGTGTAACCTAGATCCCTCACATGCCCAGTTCACAGTAGGGTTCGCACTCCTATGAGAATCTAATGCTGCTGCTGACCTGACAGAAGGTGGAACTCAGGCAGAAATGTTCCCTCTCCTGCCACTCACCTCCTGCTGTGCCTCCCCATTCTTAAAGGCCACCGACTGGTACCAGTCTGCAGCCTGGGAATTGGGGACCCCCAATTTAAAGAATCTTAGAACACAGACGACTTTCAGAAGAAATTTGAAATTACTGTAAGTCTGAAATAAATCAACATGCCATAGAGTTTAGAAACAGTTCTATAACACAACTCAATTCAAATAATGATTAGGCCAAACTATTTGGATTTTAAAATGTGAGTAATAACTGAAAAATCTATATATCTTTTAGTGCTACACTGAAAAATAACCACACCTGCTATAAAAAATAAATAAGGATTAAATATGTTCTGGTAAAGAGAAAAATATTACTATACTACACTTCAGGAATAGTCTTTCTTCATTCTACAAAATTCTTTTCATCCCTTTACCCAGTACAAATACCAGTAAAACATATTAATAGATACTACATTCAGAAGAACACTTTATAATGCTGCTGTGTAAGACCAAGTTTAATATTTGTGATATCTTTATTCTCGTTCTTTATCTAATCAAGTTTTGAAGCAGGGACTCATTTGCAATGCAGCTACCTTCATGTACTCATGAGGTCTAGTGAGGAACTATGCAGTATGTTAAAATAGGTAGTTAGTGGGCATGATTCCCCCAAGCACTTTTCTTAAATTGTATACTTGTGGGACAATTTTCTAAACGAAGCCTGTTAATGTTTTTGTCTACCTCTAAGTATAAAGCTCTGAAGTAAACTCCTACCCTGTATTTTTGATTCCCAACACTTATATAATATTGCTATCAAGTTTACTTCCCTCAACTAAATTCCTTTTGGAAAAATCATGTTTTACTTACCAAACTTTCTTTCTCACCAACTATTGTTTTCTCCTCATCCAAATAAATAACTGAATAAGCATTTCTGAAAAACCGCCCTGCCAATGCTCCACTTTGATGGATTGCTTCCCTCCCCATCACATTCAAATCATTCTTTGGAAGGTTAATGCCTTTTACTTTGGTGAAAGTACAGACCTAACTGCCTTTCCTGGCCTTAAGGGGTCTTTGCCCCCTGCTCATCACCATGTAACACAAATAATTCACACGCTTGTCACCTTTTTAAACTCTCAAATATCTACTCTTGGAAAAAAATCTTCCCTAAAGGAATATAATAAGTTTTAGTCTTACACATCAATTGAACACTTTAGCAAATTGGTTCAACCTAATTTTAAAAAATGGCAGTGAAATTTGTATCACTTGCCTTGGTTCTAATGTTCGCATGCCAGTGAAGAATCTCTGTACACTCCAATATATTGCAAACAATGGTTTCCAATGCCCACTGTGATAACATACCTATATTATAGTCACTAAATTATGAGATAATTAAAATTATTTCTTATTCTTTCAGAAAATAATTATTTACTTGTATTTATAAAATATCCACTCTAAATCTATCACAGACAAATTAACTAATGGGTAGCTATTAAACCTATCAATTAATCTGCAAAAGAGGATCATCAAATAGTTCCTCAATGTGACCAGTATAACATCCATCAGTGCTTTTCTAGATACATGGTAAAAGCCAATAATTATAGATGCAAATGTATGCACATTAGTAAGTATAGGGTAGTACGCTGTCATTTCCCAGTACTTATAACTAGATTCCTCTCTTTGCTTTCCTATGCCAGATCCTGAGAGGTAGATGATCATGTCATATTATCAACATTAATTATTATTACATAGATATGAACAAGATAGAGCTGTAAATGTTAGGTTTCAAATATATGGCTAAAAATGAGTGAAAGCATTTAATACATAAACTATATGATACATACTGATTAATAATATAACCTACCCATCAAATCCCTGGAGTTCGCATTCCTTGAGCAGTGACAGAGCATGCCCTTGATATTCCATTACTGTTAAAAAAAAAAAACACACACACACACAGACATACACAAAGTGAAAGTTTTAAACAATAACCTACAGTTTTTAACTTGTTCTGGCAAAATAATATGATAAGCGTATGGCCAATTCATAAAACAACATTTATTCTTGAATATTTATATTTTAATCATGGGCAAGAAGATTAAGTATAGTGGCCTGATGTGTTTTACAGCTTTATGTAAAAGATCATATATTTGTTTCAACTACATACGTCATTTGGGATATCCCACACATAGTGGTTACAGAATTTATCTTGGTGCCTGTCTGTTTAGTATTCCCTAAATAGGACACATATCCTTTAAATCAGAGGCTTAGGAGCAGCAGTATTTTGAAAATAAGGCATATTAGCTGGCATCGAACAGTCAATGTTAAATCGGTTTGGCAACCTTACATGAATAAATTAGTCGAAAGGTTAGTGTAAGATTTACAAACCAGAAGAATGTGTACTGGAACTGTTGGATGTGAAAATACAATGTAAAGCCAACACCAATGATAAGAAACCCAGATCCAAGAAAGAGGGTGGCACACAGGCCCATCAGGGCCCAGATCCTCCGAGGAAATGAATCTGTCACTCCGTATCGCTGTCTCCACAGTCACTGATGCCCTATGCAGTATTGTAAATGCCAGTGAAGACAGGATAAACGGGCACACTGCAGATGGCACCAAGCATCACAACCACATTTAGCATTTTCCAGGGCAGCTCTGCCAGAAGAGACAGCCCAGCTGTATCCACCCATCAAAGATTTCTGCTGACTGACGTGACATTGCAGATGGATTTTTTGTGTAAGAATGTGCGTCATTATATGCAAGATTACATTAATCTTTCATGCCTGTCTGTCCCCTGGTGCCAGCACGGTTCAAGCTTTTCCTACAATGTTTTTAGATATTGTTAAAAATTATTAGTCTTGGTGTCTAAAAGAATCATTCTGTATCCAGCAGTGTTATATTGTAATTCTCCCATAGCTTATTCAAAATGCCATTAATACTCACATGAATAAAACCTCTCTATATTAAATTTAATCAGAAGAAAGCCATAATAAAACTACATATAAAGTATTAATATTAATAAACTTGAAAGCTTATCATAGAAAATGTGTGCTGATCATTCATTTATAACTATAGCAAGTAGTTGCAGCCTTAAAATGCAAAATAACATCTTACATATACACATTAAAAATAATTAAGAATATTATGAAAAAATATTTATGCTAAGAATCAGTTTACCAAGTCTTGCTTTTATACCAAAGCTTACATTGGTGAAGTTTTTCAAATCCAATAAATAATGAGCTTTAAAACTATGTTATGATTGAAATGGTATCTTTAAATTTGTAATAGTCTTTTTTTGAAATTGTGGGTGGAATTTGATTATACACTAATGCAAGCTGTCTGAAAATAGTAATTTTTAAAGTAACATTATAAAAGTTCAATAAAATCAAATATCTGGAACAAAGAAACAAAATGAAAAGAATCTGACTACCCACATCTATAAAATATATTAGCAAAATGAACAAAATGCACAGGACTTTGGCCTCAGGAATTTGCATTCTAGAGATAGAAAACATATGCAAATGAAATAATGAATCTATAATACGAAGTAATAGGTGGTTATAAAAAACAGGCAAAAGGATAAAGAGTGATCTGGATTACTATTTAGATATAGTAGAAAGAAGCAAATATGTATTTAGACAGAGTATTGTGGGCCCTGGAATCAGTGAAAGCCAGATTCAAATCAACCCTCTCCAAACAAATATAAAGAGAGGCTTGCTAGACAAATGGAATTTCAAAAAATGTAACCTAGCCTCTTCTTTCATCTATTTGCCTTTTCCTATGAAAGTGCCAACCTGTGTTCTTTCTAAATAGATGTAAAGTCTTCACAGTTTACAGGTCTTCCATCACAGTTCCCACTGCTGGGAATTTCCCCCTCCCCTCTTCAATGCAAATGCAACTTCCTCAGGAAGACAAGAGAAGGTCTTAAGGTTAATACTGAATGTTGATGATGAAATCAGCTGAAATAAAATCAGGTGAAATTTGATTTGGACATAAGAAAACATTTCTTGGTTTGGTGATAAAATTCTTGCACAGGATACAATACTGAAATGTCATTTTCTTCCTGTCCTGTAGGTACTTCAAACTTAGTAAGCTCAAAACAGAATCCATTATGTATACCTTCAAATATATTCTCTCTCAAACACATTGGTTTTTTTTCTGTTCCATCATCCACTCCAAGACAGGAAAATTACTTCTTTCTTTCCTCCAGTAACCAGAACCACTCCATGGCCAAGGCCAGGTGTTTCTGTGTTTAAATTATGCCATAGCATTCCATTTCTACCAGCCAATTCCCTAGATCTGATCACTATCTATCTTTTTTGTGTAGACAAGTTAAGTATCCCTAATCAGAAAATCTAAAATCCAAAATGCTTCAACATCTAAAAATTTGGAAGCACTGACATGATGTTCAAAGTAAATGCTCACTGGAGAATTTTCAATTTCAGATTTTCAAATTAGGGATGCTCAACTGGTTAAGCATATTGCAAATATTCCAAAAGCTAAAAACATCCTAAATCTGAAACAGTTCTGGTCCCAAGCCTAGCAGATAAGGTATACTCAGCCTGTACTACAATAGCCTTTTATCTCGTCTCCCTCAAACCTCTCCCTGAATCTAGCCAGAATAACCATTTTCAGATACATATTTAATTATATCACTTTTTTGTATAAACCCCATTAATGAGTCTTCATTGTCCCCAGGCATCAAGTTCCAACTTCCTAATTCACATCTGAATGTTGGGAATGGAATTGGCTGTCTACATCCAAAATTATTTAAGAGGTAATAAACAGAATCTTTTACACAGAATTATCTTTCTCTCGAACTAGACATGATGCATGAACATCTACTTTTCAGATTTTTTTTTATTAAAATGCAGGTAAAACTGGAAGGAGTGATGCCTCAGGCTACTGGAATGTTTTGTGACACAGTTTCATTAGATTGCCTAGTTTTCACTGGGTGAGATTTAGAATGACAAGAGGCATTTCCAAGAAATGGAAGGCTTCAAGTAGAGCCAAAAACAACCAGAGAAACACTACAAATGGGCTTGTTAACAGCTTTGTTAGAAACGTGATTATAGGAGAAAGAAGATGACAACAAACACTGCTGTCTGCCCAGGAGTTAAAATTATCTGATGACTTAGGCGCTCCCAAGAGCCCTGAGCTGGCAGAGATCAAGGTTTCCTTGAGATAAATGTCTCTGACTATGATAATGATAATGACCATGATAAGGTCTAGCAGCTCTGTTAATACAAAAAGTAACTGAAGGAGATGGAAGTAGCTATCATGACCAAGAGATGAGAGGCAGACAGATACCTGTCTTCAAATAACTCAATGACTCTTTTACAATAGATGGGACACATTTATTTCATATTACTAAAATAAATAACCTTTATCTAAGAATTACAAACAGGCAAATGTCAGCTCACAAGTTCTCATTTTGTACAGTTTATGCCCAGCACAAAGGCACTTGGCCAAAGGGAAGGATGGATTTGCAATCTAGCTAGTGCTCCTGATTAACAAGCGGTGAACTTAGGCCGAATTAGCCTGGAAGAAAGGGCACCTTTTTGTAAGTCAGCATAGCGGAGGTGCCTTTTCTAATCTGCCCAAGTGTACAGTAACTCTGAACATTCATAAGAATGTCAAACAGTATTGTCCAGTGACAACATACTCTGCCTCTAGCGTAGGTGGCTAAATCAAAGTTGAGTGCCACACACACCTGTGCTCCACCCACAAGGAGAAAATTGAACCATATAGCCTCGAAAGTTTTTTCAGTCTGATTTCTCTGCTGCCTTAACTTTTTGATTCTGTTGTTCTATAAATTATCCTATGGATCTCTGATCCTCAAAATACCTCACACACCTTTAATGATACAATCTCTAAAACCTGCTTTTAGAAGAGAAATGATATCATATGCCAGGATGGGCTTATCATTCATACTCTTTGATTTGTGTACCAATAGGCAATTAGGAAAAAATAATTCTTTCCAGGTTCTCCCAGAAGTTTTTCTGATGCCATTATTAGATAAGATACTATACTGATGGTGACAGCAGAATAGAAATGCAACTTTAGCACAAATATTTCAAAAGATGCCAATCTATATTCAAAAGTAGTTATGATTTCAGCACAAGCCAAAATGAAAGAAGTGTATTTTTATTAATGTGGTAAGATCCATTTATTTAAAAAATTATGAAAAAATTACAGAATCTTTTAGTGTATATATCTAGCTGTAATTGTTCAAATTATACTTCATATTTATATAGCACTATTTCCTGATGAACTCATCATCATATAGGGTTTATTTTGTGATTCCAGTTCCATTTGGACTCACCAATGCACACAAGAATACATGAAAACAACAGTTCCACTGGACATGCAGAAGAAATGTCCTCTTTTTGCTTTACTCTTTCATATACATTTTCTTTCCCAAAAAAGTATGACTTGAATCTTACTGTGACATAATTTTTGAAACTGAAACAGTATTATGACCATCTTTCTGTAGTATTTTATAATATACAAAGTTTCAAATATATTATTTCAACCACAAAAATAAAAAACAGGCAGGAAGACTAAAACTTTTCAAATATTCACAGGTTTATTCAAGAAATATTTTTTCATAAATATTGAGCCAATACGCATACTAAAATGGTTTTATAAGCAAAGGATGTAATTTTATAAATTTGCCTGTAGAAGGAGTGTTAGGCAGCTAATTATGAACAAATATAAGTAAATTCTAAATTTGTTTTAGGTAATATTCTATTGTTTTGTGTTAAAGTAAATATAGTACTTGGTAATATTCACAAATTTAGCGAAAAAATCCTAGAACATATTTTATCTCCAATAAAATTAAGAAGGAAAGCACATTTTGATGATTTCCTCTGCCTTAGTTCAGGACTTGTATATTAGTTTTATTTTCTCCAATCTCTTTTTCTCTCTTCATTTTTAATTTTAATTCTGTGGTGGAGTCATCTTTGCCAAACCAGATTACAACACTATGATAAACAAAAAGGTACACCAACTGTGGATCAATGAATGCACGATGAGTAAACTGCTGAGTATAGTATAAGAGATATATCCATAACCCGGACTTACACCTCCTGTATTATAAATTGTTGGGAGCCTTCCTAGAAGTCATTTTGCCCTTTCTTCTCCCTAACAGAATCCAGATTCAACTGAAGCATTTTAGCTTTCAGGAAAAGGGGACCTACCCTCAGTCTCTAGGAAGACTCTTAATGGTTAAAGAAATGATTATTCCAGATTGAATGTGCTAATACAGTATCTGTGCCCAAACTGAAAGAAATTTTAAATCATCATCAGGATTAAAGCATGCTGGGTCTCTCTCACACACATATTCACACCTCTCCCCATCCCACTGGATATTAATAAGAAAGGATCAAATTCACTGGCAACTATTTTATGATGATAGAATAAGATTTCAGATAATGTCAAAACTGAGGAAAGTAGAACAGTTATGGAACTCTCAAGATGTATGGGTATAACATACACAGACATACAGACACACAAACACACAAACACACGTGCACACTCCCCACCACCACCACTTTTACAGTACTGCCTGCTAGCCTGACTTCCTCCCCTCACTTTTTGTTTTCTCTGCCTCTTAAAAACTGCCTAGTTCACATGCTTTCCTTGAACCTTCCCATCAAAATATCACCTGAGACATCAGAGTTCTTTTATGTATACCCCAGCTAATAGAGGTTTAAGTATATATCTGAATCCCTAATACCCTGGAAAGTCATTCAATTGCAAGTATGATAGCTTATTCATCTTGCATCCTGCACAATGTTGAACACAGAGCAAGCATACAATGAGATTCCTGAAGTGAATACTATATAGTAATATCCATGTCAAGCTGCTTTGTAGTAGTCACATGTAAAATCAATGACACAAAATAGTCATTGAGTATGCCAATAAGTTTATCCAACTTTTAATTGTCTCACCCTAATATAAATCTTAAATTTTTCCTTTAGCCAGTCTTTGAAAATCTTCCACAGAAAGGAAACATAAATATGAATTTTCTCTCTTCCTTATAAATCATCTCTAAATAAGTCAAAAGTCACAAACACGAAATGTTAACTTCTTCACTATAATGTTATTTTAATTCAGAAATTCTTCTTGAGTTTTTCATGGTAGTTTCTCTTTAACCTCTATAGTCAAAGATGCATTTCATGGAGGCTAACCTTCCCACGAAACTTGCTCTTTTTTAAGGAACTTTCTTCTACCTCAATCCATCAAGTCACTAGGTGTAGGCTTCCATGACAGTATTTACATCTTGAAACCTATCTCCTTTGTTTACAGCTGAGTAAAGCCACATCACTGTGAATCCCTTCCCCAGGAATTTGTAACTGGGACTAAGAAATTCCAAGTGAGCTCTGGGCTTGCCCCTTGAGTAGGCTTATTTTATAATATTTTTCATCGATTAAAATTTATTGCAAATTTCCACTGTTACTGAAGTCACATAGAAATAAAGCTAGAGAAGTTGCAATTCTCCATAGCATCCACTCTTCTACTCAGTTCGCCATCAAAGAAACAAAGGAATGTGGCCACCAAAGTCAAAAAATCAAAAAGGGTATTATTAGTCATCTATTAATTTTTGTATTAACAAGTTTCTATTTTCCTTGTCGCAAACCTAAGTACATTTCTTAGTTTAAACCATGAATTTAAGCTTCTAGAATCTCTAAATTCATCTATTAATAAAATCAGCAGTTTAGTGCTTAGTTTTGACCTAACCAGCAGGGGTCAGAGTCAGAACAAAAACAACCTAAGGAAGAATTCCATGGAAAGACATCAACTACGTAAGTGAGCAAAAAATCAATTGCTTGCCTAACTGCAAAATTAATATGTAAATAACAAACATCTCAATGAAGATGTAAACAAGTATACAGCTTCCTTTAGAATTATATCTGACAATTGTTTAGGTCTGAAAAAAAATCTGAAAAAGTTCAAAGAAAAAAATTAATATTCTAATAAAAATAACACAATAAAAAAAGAAAATAAATAATAACTCTGGAGCTGGCTGCAGTAGGTTATGGAAGACATAAAAACACTGTGGATATTACAAATACTTTCCCAAGTTTGCCTTAATAAAAAATTCAGGTTATCTTGCTTTTGTATGTTTTTGTAAATGGCGAAATTATATTCTGAAAATTACTTACTTGTTACATCAGTTTTTATTCCTGCAATCTTCAACAGAGGTTCAACCTTCTCATAATAAACCTGGGTAGCTTCTTTTTTGTGACTCTGGGGGTTAAGGAATATTTTTAATGACTTCGGTCTGTTTGGAAAACCTAAGAAGAAATTTTAAAGACAAAGTTGTAAAGTGCTTGTCAGCATTTTTCTTCTTTCCCTTTAAAATGACACACAATTCTGTTAAAATGTTATACACATTTAAATAGTATTTGCTATTTTTATTTGAAATTCTTGCAAGAGTATTCCTGAATATAACTTTATTTTAAAACATTTACATTTCCTAGCTGTGAAATAGGCATATCCCTCTTAAATGAGTTAGAATAATACATTTATGAAGGAAGGTGCATCAAAAAAAAGAGGCAACTTTGTGAATATTAGGCAATGTGTATGTATATTTACCAAACCACAACATATCAAATGTTCTTTTAGCATTTGTTTCTGGAAAAAAGCAATGGACTGTAACAAATAGATGGGTACATTTCCTCTCCTTAGCTAAATGTGCTCATTATTGGAATTGGGCACCCCAGTGACCCCAGGGCTACCAACGCCTGACCTACTGATGAGTCCAGGGCAGAAGAGAGGAAGCAGGGATGGGTCAGTGTCAGCACCAAGTGCAGTGCATGCTGGGAGTTAAAAAGAGGGTTTCGGTCAGAGTTCAAGCCTGAAAAGGGGTCAGGGGAGAAAGAACTCTTTGGGGAATTGGGAAAGCATCGCCTCTCAGCAGGGATTCGATGATAGTGCTGCCTCACAGTTGGGGCTGAGATTTGATACTACAATTTTCTGGGCTTGCAAGATGCTTATCTCTTCGAACCCAGTTGGAGCAGGTGCAAAGCAAATTTTCTGTTGTTAGGAAGAGGCAGGAGGGACTGAGGAGCCAAAAGAAAGCTGACAACCGTTTCTTTTATAATAAGCTGCTCTCAGAGGGTCATGTTTAAAGATTAAAGAAGCAGTTATTAACATCTATTTTTATTAAAAGCTATTATTAAAGACAAGTGAAAATGTCCACTACAAGGAGCCAGTGTTTCATTCCTTAAGTAGAGACAATGTTTCATTTCTCACCATATTTAATACAATAAAATCTTTCAACAGGACATACTGTTTTGATTTTAGGGAGTTTTAGATGAAGAGACAGGGTCATGATGAACTCCTTAAACACTCCCAGTCAAACTGCCTAGGATGCTTTTTGATAAGAGGCCTGTGTCAGCCTCACCCAAGCTGGAAACCCCAAATCCGTGCTCAAGGGCTTCCTTTTTCCTTGCTATATTTGAATGGGGTCTCAGAATTGTAAGATGGTGGCTATCTGCATCCGTGCCTTCTCCCTTCTCCCACTGACGTGCTCTGACTTGGGCCGGTGCCCAGGCATGCTGGCTGTCCTGCCCTTCCACTGCATCCTTTGGCATCGCAGCTCCCATCAGCGCTGCACAGTTCAAAGGCGACTGTGGCTCACTGCTGCCTGAAGAGCGAGCCCAAACCCCTTAAAATGACATTCAGAGCCCTCCCGCTCCCAATCCCAACCAATCACTCTCCTCTCCTTTCTCTGTCACACATGTTAAAGAAACATTTATTGAGCATTTGTGTTAAGTACTGGGAAGAAAGGCCAAGGGATTAAGATATGATTCGTGTTTTAAAGAAGGAAGATGTATCCACAAATACAGACGGCACAAAACATAGATTTGTTAACAGAGAAGCACAAAGTACAAAAGGGTGTGTGAGGGAAGGTGGTTAATCCTTATTAGGGATCTGGAAAAGGTTTCAAAAGAAGGGAGTATCTGAGCTGGACTTTTGGCTTGTGCTGTTTTCATTCCCTAAAATTCCCTCCCTCATTAACCCCCATCCCAGCCTATAGCAAAACAGCAGGGGTGGAAGTTTTGGGCAGTGAGACCTGCCTGAGCAAATAACTGAAGCTAAGTACAGAGGGTTTTTATGTTCCATTTCAGCTTTCTCATCAAGGTCCAGAACCACTGTATTATTGCCAAATTCCAAGGCTGCTGAGCCTTCCTTTGTTCAGACACTTTTTTCTTTATGCTCCACCCCATCCCCACTTTTGTCAAAATTTTATGACTTTTCACAGTTCACTCAAACAACACTTCCTCAATGAAGCCTTTTTTGGTTTTTGTTGTTTGTTTGAGATGGAATCTCGCTCTGTCGCCTAGTCTGGAATGCAGTGGCGTGATCTCGACTCACTGCGATCTCCACCTCCTGGATTGAAGCAATTCTCCACCTCAGTCTCCTGAGTAGATGTAGTTACAGATATGTGCCACCACACCCAGCTAATTTTTTGTGTATTTTTAGTAGAGATAGGGTTTCACTATCTTGGCCAGGCTGGTCTTGATCTTCTAACCTCATGATCCACTCACCTCAGTCTTCCAAAGTGCTGAGATTACAGGTGTGAGCTACCGTGCCGGGCCTGAAGCCTCTTAATCAGCAACACAATTCACCTCTCTGAAATTTGTCTCAGAGTAGGGTTTCTCTGCTCACATTTTACTCTGTTTCTCTATTACTCATCCTTACATTATTTACATGAAAGGACTCTGATGAAAGACCCCAAGCTGAGACAATACAGAATTGAATAACAACCAACTCCATGAGTAATACTGACACTAAACAAACAAAATACAAGAGAACATTCTGTTCTATAGTAGAATAATATTAAGGTAATTAATACAGAGAATTATAAAGTGAGAAAAATCACTATTTCCAGTTATCACAATAATTATTGTTTCAGATAAGAATCACCAATGGGTGCTAAACCCATCCAGTGACAGTCAGTTGGGGGTCAAAATATTTATATATCCTTAAACTCTATCCCTCACTACTCTAATTATTAATATAAAGGGTAGCACCTTTAATAGAGACTAAGGACATGAAAATTAAATGTAATGTGTGATTCTGGATTGGGTTTAAAAAAACACCATAAAGGATAATATTGCTGTCCTTTAACCAAGAATGACTAAGCTTACTTTTAGCTTACTAAAAATAACCTAGAGCTTACTTTTACTGAAACACAACAAGAAAAAGATATTTGCTTAAAGCCCAAAGGCCAAGTGTCATATTAAATATCCTGATTAAATTTACTTTACCTGGTAAATTTATTGGAATACCCTGCTTTACTTCTCAATCAGGGGCAGTCCCAATAAAGACAGTGTTATTACACACAAACAACTTTTATTTATTTCTCTTCCTATATTCACTCATTTATTCACAAATAACTACACGCCTGCTAGGTATATCAGGCAGGGTTCCAGAAACTGAGGTTCTGTCAGTGAACAGAAAGCCTCTGCCCCTGTGAAGCTCCAACTCAAATGGCACAAGACAGAAACAAGAGTATATCACATGGTAATATAATACATTCTAAAGATTAAAATGAAGATTGCTAGTAGTGGGAGAGAGGGAGGGCAAAGGTGGGCGTGATTTCCTGGCCAGGAAAGGACAGATCACCCTAAAGCCTTGCAGACATTTACAAGGACTTTGGCTTTTGTAGAGTAAGTAGCATGGTGAATTTCAATCAATGAAGCCACATAACCTTAGGTATTGAAAGAAACACTCTGGCTGCCTTGTGGAAAGTAGATAAAGTAGGGTCAAAGGCCACCAAACAAAACCAGTTGCAATACTCCAGGTGGGAAATGGTCATGCTTGGACTGGAATGACTGCAGTGGAGGTTAAAAGTTAGATGCCACATGTATTTTGAAGGTATAGCTGACAGCATTTGTTGACTCTTTGGATACAGTATGTGAAAGAGAAGAGTCCAGGAGTACTCAAATGTCTGGCAGGTAAGGGGAAAGTAAGGACTTAAGATGGATGAGTAGTAGTGAAAAACCTGCAGATTCAAACTGTGGTCTCAGAGAAAGTCATCAGTAATGACAAGACCTAAGAAACTGGCATATTCATCAGAATCACCTGAAGCCTTCTTAAAACATAGATTCTGGGCTCCAGCCCCCAGAGTTTTGAGTTCACTAGTCTGGGATGTTATCTAGAAATTCATATTTATAATAGGTTGCCAGATGCTGATGATGTTTGCAAAGGAACCACATTTTGAGAACCAATGTTCTAGAAATCATCCTCGTTGAAGGAGAGGAGACTAGAAACTGAAAGAATAGCTTAAAGATATCTATTATAAATATATATAATATTTTAATAGGAGCAGTGTCAGAGACAGTAAGAGTGAGAGTAAGATAGTTTAAGTCTTCGGTGAGTAAGGAAAGTACCTCAGTGGTCTGCACAGGACTGCAACTGGTAGTGCCAGATAGAGGTATCTAATAGATTGAGCTTAGCACTGATAATTTTTAAGAGAGAAAAAAAATATGGTTTTGAAATTGAAGAGAGATGGAAGGAAGACATCAAGACATTGACAATATCTCCAGAACCAGTGGTATAAAATGTATGAGAGAGAAACCAGTTACCAGTTTAGAGAACTCTAAGGAAAGTTATACGTTCCTGGGAGAGCTGAGTCTCTACTATAGCAAGAATGTGGGGAAAATATTTAGAAAGGGGATTGAAAATACAGGAGACTTTGCTAATGATGGACTATTCATTCCAGAAGGCAGTGTAAAATAGTGTCTGGAGTTGAGGAGGGTAGGGGACAGTGTCAGGCTACAAGGTTCAGAGAGACTCAGAGGCATGGGAGTTCAGGTGATGAAGGGTTTTAGGCAGTGACAAGGGGTGGAAGAGGTAAGAATTGCCTGTAGCAGTTATGGTTGGAGAGTAAGGCAGTGGGGGAAGGGTCTTACCCCCAAGCACTTAGAGCTCTAAGAATTTCTCTTCCCTCCAGCTAATGTCAAAGCCAGGAAAGAAGCAATGCTGCCTGGAGCTAAAGGAGCTCCAAAGCCCCTTTCCCTTTCATCAGTCCTGGAAGTCCTAGAATCTGAACCTACATCTGTCTGACACGGCTACACTTTTCACCAAGTGACCTCACTGCAAACCACATGCTTGACTGTTTTCTGAATAGGTAAATCATACACATGCTACAGAATTCGAAGTCTCCTTATTTAGCTCATTCACTGATATCTAGTTTCCATCTTGCAAAACAATCACTGATATCACTTTGAGAATCATTCTAGAAGTATATATTTTTTGAGATGGTGTCTTGCTCTGTCACCCG